AACCTTGACTCATGCAGTCGTTGATTGTGTATATATTTGTTCTTACTATATTTCATCAGTAAATTATAAATACAATCATCATGAACATGTGTGTTGTTTTTTTTACTTATTTGTTGTTGTTGTTATTTTCATTTAAAACGTTTAATTCTGAATTAATTGTTAATAAAATTATTTCAAATTTAATATTTTCTTCTTTTTTTATCTTAATTATCTAATGGATTTATCTAACAACTTAAAAATACAAGCAGCATTTGAATTTCTGTTATTTTGAGTTCCTTAGTCTATAAAACTCGTGTTTGAATTTTTATATTATAGCAGAAAAAGTGATTGATCTAAAATACTTAGAAACCAACTCGTTCACAAATTCAACCTCTGTGATCTACTATAAAAAGTGTACATATCCTAATGAAACTTCAAAATATATAAAACCCTATAACACGGCACACTTCAGCTGTCACGTGATCATTCCGATTATCATTCTGACGATCTGCAATGGCGTCATTCTCCGAACGCTATATAAGGACAGAAATGAAAACTTACGTTCGGATTGTCAAACTATTAAGAAGAGTATTCACACGGTAACAGCGTTAGTAATAAGCATGAGTTTCGTCCATATTCTATCCACGTTACCAATGACGTTGCACGTTATAAATATCTATTTTTTTTACGTAATTCAGATGACGGACTTTAAGTGACGTTTTTCACTTGATTATACAAAATTTGATCTTTCTGAATAGAGGCATAAACTGTGTCTTGTATTGCTTTATTAGGAAAGAGTTCCGCACAGACTTGGGAAAAATGTGTGTAAACGTTTACCAGAATTGCACTAAGAAAGACCGGGACCCACTGCATGCGTCTCGAACGAGTATTTTTAATACACATTGTCGTACAGCTGTGTGATTATTTTTTATTATTTGTGATTAGTTTAACATGAGCACAATAAATGAAAAGAGCATATTTAACAAAGGCAGGTTTGGTTAATAATATTGTTCATTTCATATTGTCCTCATCAACACCAATTGATGTCAAATACTTTTGAAATGAACAAATATAAGTCAGCGTTTGTGGTATGTTCCATTGTGATCAGAACGGTCTGTCATTTCCACTAGAGTAGATATATGATGGTATTAATGTCATTTGCATGCCAAGTCAAGTCATCAACATGCTCACATTACTGGGTTCTTACTAAATTCCTTTGGCATGTTATGTAACACAGCGTAATGCACGTGTAAAGGACGATTCAGTCTGTGTACACATCGAAAAAAGAAACATTTTGAAAGAACGTTCTGTGTTAAAATGGAAGTTGACGACATAAATATTGTTGGATTTTGCATTTTGAGCGTTATATTGTTTTTCGGAATTCCCGGAAATATCATGTCGTTTGTTGTTTGGACAAAAGGAAAGAACTGTAGCAAATCATCGAGTGCAATATACTTTAAATTATTAGCAATTTGTGACTTACTTGTACTTTTAATACCTGGAGTTGATTTCTTTGTTTATTTGTTTCCAAAATACAACAAAGATCTTCGAGTTACTAATATTTTCTTATGTAAGCTTTTAACTTTTGCTTATGTGTATACGAGGGATATATCTCTCGGTGTGACTATTGCTTTGACTATAGAAAGAACCATAACTGTGTGCAGACCGTTCAGTGCTTATAATGACAACGTCAGAAAACGTGCTTACGTCATATTTACAATAATTACGTCACTAGCGTTCATCCTTAACACGCCATACCTTGTAGTGGAAGAGATAACGGAATTTAAACAAGGTAGAAACACGACAGCGGCCAATACGTCGCAGAGTAATTCTAACAAAATTTGTACATATATGAGGGAACCAGTTCATGTAAAGGAAATTATTGAGTTATATAACACCATTCACTTCAGCTGTCACGTGATTATACCAGTTCTCGTGCTCACGTTCTGCAAGAGTTTAATTCTTCGAACGCTGTGCAAAGGCAAAAAACAAAGCGCCCAAAATGGTGCCAATACCATAAAGAAAAGCATTCATACTGTTACATTACTGGTTATTTGTATAAGTATTATCCACATATTGTCAACTTTACCGATGTCTTTACATGTTATATCGCATTATCACGAATTTAATTTAAACGAATTTTGGACCAATTTTGCTAATCTCGTAATACAAAACTTACTCTTCCTGAATAGTGGAATAAATTGTGTTCTTTATTGTTTTATTGGAAATGAATTTCGTCAAGATTTAAGAAAGTTGTGGAAAACATGCAGTGCACGTGGCACCAATGAAACAGGAACACTTTCGAGCAGAAGGACAATTTCAAAATGAAAAGATAACTGATTGACGAATTTAATACACGATTTAACATTGTGCATTCATTGTCGAACTTGACTATTACCTTATATATTATATAGACATTTTTCATGGGTGTATGTAAAGTGTATAAAGCTATATATCTTCTGCAAACAATATTGTTTGAATTTCAAAAAAGAAAACACTTCTGATATGCTTACATATGACATGAATATGGTAGTACATTCCATAGAGCTCTTGCACGAAATAATTGCTAAGTGGATAAAACCCCTCTTTAAATAGCAACATTATATATTATTCAGAAATATTTTATTCTGATTACGTATAATAATCAATTGTTAAATAATAGAAACATTCTATCATTCTATGTTATATCTCTTTCCAAACGACCCTAAGATTATGTAACCAATCTTATTTAACTGTTGATAAATTTTAATAAAGGTATTTGATAAGATATAGCTTCATGCCCTTTAATATAGACACATGCAGTCGTTGACGATGTGTATTTATGTTCTTACCTCATTCAGGGTCTTTCAAATAGAATTTGAAAGACCCTGCCTCATTATGAATAAATCACCTTTTTTGTTCTATTTAAAACGTTTCAATCTGAATTAATTGTTAATTAAATCATTTTCAAATTTGATATTTTCTTTACTTTTGTCTGAATTATCTAATGGTTTTTTTTATCTTACAACTGAAAATTACCAGGCGCATTTGTATTTCTGTTATTTTGAGTCGGTCAGTTTATAAAACTCGTGTTTGAATTTTGACTAAGCACGTAGTAAACTTTTAAGTACACGTTCACCGATACTTATTTCTTACGTTTATAAAACGCAGTTTCTCAATTATCATTTGAGCCGCGTCACGACAAAACCAACATAATGGGTTTGCGACCAGCATGGATCCAGACCAGCCTGCGCATCCGCGCAGTCTGATCAGGATCCATGCTGTTCGCTTACCAACCCTATTACAAGTAGAGAATCTGATTTTGTTTTTATCTTTCTTTTTACTTTTATATCATTGACGTTGGATTGAAAGTGTCATGCACACTCAACTGTCCAATATAGTAGACTTATATTGGATCATTCACAGTCCAATGTGTAAAATATATTGAACGGTCACGTGCACGTGGTGCAATTCACATGCACGGATGATCTTATGTTAATAACTAGTAAAGAACAACATGTATTATTGGTATATGTATAACAACGATATATAAAATATGATGTTACATGTATAACTGTCCTTTAAATGTTTTCTTGTGTAGTGACATCGATAGCGAGTTGATGAAAACAAGTACCACAAATTAAGAGTCATTGGTAAGTAAATATAAATACAAACATGTTTATGCATCAGAAACGAAGGGGAAACACACTACAATTTATATATCTAGTCATATGCTCTTGGAAAAATTGCCAAATAACTAATCAAACCATCAGGACTAATTATTTTTTTGGATACTTTCGGTTCATACGATAACCACAGGTGTTCGAGATTTCTAGCTCTCAAATGCATTTTTAAGTCATAAAGTTTGTTTGCACGTGAATGCTGGTCTGACTCTATTTGAACGGTCTAAGCGGGTCTTAGAAGAGAGTCTTCTATTTGAACGGTCTAAGCAAGTCTCTATTTGAACGGTCTAAGTGAGCCTTCTATCTGAATGGACTAAGTGAGTCATTATCATCGAAAGTACTCAAGTCTGTCATTTTTTTTATAATTTTTTCATTATACTTTATATTAAATAGTGTGTAAATACATGTATAAAATATAAATATAAAGTCAACAGTGATAACTTGTGTAGGTAGTTTCTAACTTTGATTAAGTTCTTGATTTGTTGTTTTTATTGTTGTTATTTTTTGTTGTTGTTGATTTCTGCTTTTCTCGTTAATGTTTTATGTTGTTATTGTGTGTTGTTGTGCTTATTATTGTGGTGTTTTTATTGCGAAGGAAAATATGCGATACTTATTGAAATATGAACGATAAATATCGCAGAGAAAGTCTAGCCCCTGTGATTTACCGAATACACATATACACACATAACTAGTTGTTGTTGTTGTCGTTGTCAGTATATTAAGATCTAACAGTTAGCTAGATAAAGAATAGCTAATGTCACATACTCTATCAACATAATTGTTACATGTCAGTGACGTGTATATAAACAATGTCACATTTGCTTACGTAAGAATGCTTGCAAAAAAAAGAAGGAAACGTAAAAAGATGTTGTTAATTAAACCCATCCCTACCTGAGCATATCCCAATATTGTTCCAAAGAAACAATCGAGTAAACAACAGAAAGTAAAAATAGACTGTCTGTTTTTAAAATGTAACCCTTTTTTGAAAATAAGTATAACATATACTGTGAAACACCCCGAAGCATATATTGAAAACTTTGTAACATTTACAACGTATAAGAAAAACAATAAACCATGTCTTTGACCAAGTTAAAAAAAACACAACACAAAATGTTTCGGTTAAAAGACGCAAAATATACTATGCGGATGGTTTCCGATGAAAACGCTCTGTAAACCGTTTTTTATGTTGTTTTGTTTTGATTTTTATTTGTTGTTGGTGGTGGTGGTGGTGGTGATGGTTTTTTGTCGTTATTTTTTTTTTATTTAATTTTATTTCCTGTAAAGTTTAGGATTGTTATATATTATAAGTACGAGCCGTATATCATGCGACAGCATCTTAGAATTTATTCGGATACATACCGTCATCATCCTCATAAATCACTGTAAATCGTGTCCAACCCCAGTGCTTCAGGAGGTTCGCATACGCCTGGCTCAGCTTGTTGTACTCTGGGTACACGCTAATTGAATAGTAGTCGTTCGAATCCCGGGCGTCCCATTGGGCGTTTAAGTGTGGAATTTCATACGAGTTGCATATCGACTGCACATGCGCACGAGGAATTTTTGTGATTGGTCCAAACACTGCAGCGATGCCTTCTTTCATTTGGCGACACACTGTCAATAAAAAGAAGATTAAAATGTTAAAAGCAATGATTAACAACAGTTAAAGATATTAAGACAAAATTAAATGGAAGTAAAAGATAAAACAAAAATAAAAGCTAATTGCCCTGTCAAAATTGATATTTCACCTTCATTTTTAATCTTGTACTATCTTACATGCTATAAAAAATAACTTTATGGAAGATATCAGCAACGTACATTAGATTGCCCAAACGCAAATCATTAACTTCCATTTGTTAAAAGAGGACCCATTCAATTATATAAAGTCCGACCTTTAAAAATAACAGTTTGCTCTGAGATTTTTCAATATTTCATATAACACGTGCTATTTCTCAGAAATCAGTGATGTATCAATCATGGTTAAAAGTTGTGTTCGTATTTTAAAAAGCTTCATTAAGCAATGTCAAAATGAAATTAACGTTCTTAAGTGATAATAGCTAGGATACTTTGAAGGTACTTTTATCTTAATTAAACAGGTAGTCGCAACCATTTTTCTCTCTTCTCTCTTCGCGAAAAATCAAAGGTAGTTTGATTTAAGTTGTCAAAATTGTTTAAGTATCTACATGGTCATAAAAACACTAAATTTCCCTTGATTTGTTTTTCAACACACGATAAATCATTCTAAGAAAGGTTTATGCTTGCCAACATATAGTTAATAATATGATGTACAAAGTTTTTAATTTTGTATGCTCGTAATACCATGGTAACTTGACATTTGTATAATGCCATTTGATGCACAGGTCCAGATTTTTGCCTTTTTGGGGCGGAAATGGATATCAATCAGCAACGTATTCAAATATCATTTTAGAAAATGCCCGTCTTGGACATTTGTACTGAGACAAATTTTCAGACCTATACATGTAGACTCTAATTAGAATTATAACGTAAAACAGGACGGATCCCAATATTTTATAGACAGACCAGTGATAGCTTGGATCCTTCGAAGCATTGATCTGATTATTGATATTAAACGTTCAATTTAATAAAAACGAGCTGATTGTTGCTTGCATACCAATTAAAATCATGGTAAAACGATTGTCAAATTGATTCTTTGGTTTCTACATAACGTTTCCTGTTTCTACAAATACAAAATTTTAAATGTTATACAATGCAAAAAATAAAGTGTATACCGAAATAGTAACAAAACATGATGACTTCACATTTCTAGTATTTCTTGTCCCCTGTGCCAGACACAAGGTTAAGGCTGATAATGCAAAATAGAGCTCGGTGCGCAGGAACATTTAAAATCACTTGCTGGTGGACGTTAAACCCAACAGCAAATAGTCATGTTATTGACCTGTTAATATTTGCTTATATACATATGGTTTGAGTGCATTATAACACTTAATCATATGTTTATTAATAGAAAGAAAACGTCATAACAAGATGCTAACGTATGGTATTCAGGGTTTCTTTGGTGTTTTTATTTTCGGTTTATATGAAAGTTATGAGAAACTGGTTGAGAAATCCAATTTTGATTACGTGTGTTTTTGTTTACGTAAGTATTACATAAAGTGCTTGCATACTGTATATACTTAACCAGCTAAGTGTGCCAGACTACATTCGACTTTTGTCTCTTATATTACCTTTGAAAATGTTCAGCCGCTTATGTAATTAAACAAATATGAAGATATTATGTCATAAAATAAAAAAGAAACACTTTTCAAGGAGAGATCGTTGTCTTTGTGGTTTGGTAAAAGCAAATGATACAATAATAGTTATAAAGCAACATAAAAAAGACACCTTTACTGAAAGATCATTCTCATTTTCCCCTTGTTTTATACCTTTGATAACGCTAGGTCCCTTATGCCTATGAAAAAAAGTGAAGTTATCACTAAAGAGATAAAAAGAACTTATCAAGAAGCAATTATTTTTCTAAATAATAAAACTAACAGTAAAAACATGTTCATGCTCTACATAAAGTAGATACACCACGTGAAAGTATATATTTATGTTTATGTTTTGTTTTAAGTATAAAATGTATAAAATCTTGGATAAAACAAAGAGTTTGGTCTCGTTCCTATTACTTTCTGTATTTTGTTCAAGAAATTATCACTTGTAATAAGATAATAAAAAGTCTGATTATATCTTAACGCGCTCAAAACTCAGATTATTCTTTATCATCATTAATTGGATAATGTTTTATGCTTGTACTTAACATATGTGAACATAAATATGATATTTCTACAAACGCAATTTACAACAAAGCAAAAATTGAAGAAAATGTTTTCAAATTTACACGTGAAAGACAAGCAGTCAGAGAGAGCATTTTGTACATACTGAAAAGAATATAGACAGATAAACAAAGACATTCGAACTAAACATGCACAATAATAAAGCCATGCAAAGATAAAAGAAAAAAGATATTGAATTCAAAATATAACAATCTAATTGTTGAAGCCAAGTATTTTATTCATCACCTCAGCTGAGTAAGGTTTATGGAGATGCTTTTGACAGTTGGTGGCTCATATTTTTTTAACGATGCAAAAAGAGAAATATCTTCCCAACACCTCCAACCTGCCCCCCTCTCCCGAAATAATCAAAATCAAACAGGGACAAATAAAAAACAATATGACTTCTTTACAATCGATGTACCTTAAAACCCAAGGGGTCGTTTTAAAAGAAAAGAAGATCAGTCTATCACAAAAAAAAATCGGCTAACACACTCTGTATCATCGATGTAAATATAATATCAGCCCTAACCTTCTGATGAAGCTGAAACCTATTCACATACATCCACATCGTTGCGTAATGGAAAGTTAACAGACCAAGAAGAAAGAAAGCTGCCGTGCGTGTTGACACGCGACAAGAACGTGTTTCAATTAAAAATTGACGTACACGAACTTTTTCTCCAAACTTCATTTTCATTTATATATCACCATAACTAGAAAGCGAGAATCGACAGAAAGCTAATTTTTATACACATGTTGTTGCATTTTACGACTACATATATTTTCACACTTGAACATTAACCCTTTGTTTCCGTCTTGTAGACTTCCACTGAATTGACGCTGATTTGATATCACTGTATTTGCGCAATTTTGCCAAGTAAGAATTCTTGCAGTTTAAAATATTTTACGAGTGAAAAAGCTAATAAGAGGCAAATTATGTCTTGACTAAATGTGTTAGTTCATGACTTTTATCATACAATATCAGAAAGGCATTTTAACTGTTTTTTTATTATTATAAAGTTACGTTTAGGTAAATCAAAACTAACAACAAATGTCAATTTTCAAAGTCTATCAATGCGAAAGAAAGCTGAGAGAAAAGGGGTATATTTTTCTGTTTATATAAACATATATACAATAAAATACGAAAAAACGGTAATGAAATAAAAAAAAATCGAAAAAAGGAATTTAAAAACATTTCAGGTTAAAAGAGCGTTGGAGAATATACGAGTTACATTAAGTAAGCAATTATTTAAAGAAACGCATGTAAATACAATATTTGATGCATCCGTCAATTTCTCTTTCTATTATTTTTACTGGTTATAAAATCTAGAAAACAACAACAACAACAATAAAAAGGTATGTTAATAAAAACTCTAAGACATAATACTAAGATATAAAACAATGAACTTCATGTTATTTCATGAAAATGAAAAGAAGATATATTAAAAACCGAGGAAAAAATAATCTAATAATAAAAATTCTGATAAAAAATCTTTAAAAACTATATATGGGGATGATTACGTAAAAGCGGTGAATCGTAATATTCATATTCTGTGAAACTTACAACTTCTAAACCAGCTCCACCTACATTCGGGTGAGGTCCAGAAGACAGAACTGTACTCATAATCGAAGTTGGAACAATTAACATTTGAGGAACTCGAGACTATATAAAAGTAAAAGAAAGATAAAAACAAAATCAGACCACAACTTAAATGTCTTCAACTTAGATAAACATCGATAGATAAATTATAAAATAATAAATTTTACTAAAATTTCATAAAACTATACAAAATAAGGCTAAAATATGCAACTTTTGAAACAAATTTCTGACAAAATGTATATAAATCTGTTTTGTTTTTTAACAATAAACCACTTTATAGCTTTTCCTTAGCTAGTTTTAAAGTATTTTTCTTATTTATTTATTAATTATTGTTTTTATTATTATTTTTTATAATAACGACTGGTCAAAAACACCGAAAGAATAATTAAATGTATGAACCTCTGAATACGTAAATAATCTTTTGATACATTTTTAAACTATGATTTCAAAATTTGACAACAACTGATTTCCATTGCTTGCATAATACTTGTAAAATTGTCCTTAATAATTGTCCTTAATTATTGTCCTTAGGTATTTGAATAATTCGAAATAAAGCTAATACCAGACAATGTAGAAATTAAACACCTACGGCATTGAAATAAAGTACGAATTCAGACTAAATAAGAAATATAAATCTTTCCAATACTGCACTGATGTATCGAATTTTAATTGCTATACGTTATAAAGAATTAGATACCTCCCGTTAGAGTAACAAAAACTCGTCGATTGTGTTTTGTAAAACTGTCACGTAAATTCCTAAAAATCAAACGGAAGTGCTTAATTTTGTATTTTTTTGCTTTGCACTCCGGGATTTCCCAATTGTATAGATGGTATCGGTTTATGTTTTGGCAGAAAATAATCCAATTTTAGAGTACAAAACTAGACATTCCACAGAGTAATGCAATTATAGGTTTGCCTACATTCTTTATTGTATATCTGATAGGTTGTATGTATCCCCTAGAGGTACATTTATTCTTTTTTATTGCCAACAGAGAAATATAAAACTATAATATGTATTACGTAACAAACGCTTTTATTCACCATTTCAAATATTACATAAACGAACCGATTCAGGGAATAAAAAGGAGCACTCTGAACAGAAAAAAAATATTCGATAAGGTTCCTCAATCACAACTGATGTTTCTAAAATGTCTGTATAAAAATAACGAAAAAATCAAGATATTTAAGGAAGTCTTTGCTATGCAAAGCACAACTGGTTTATA